TTTTTACACTAAAAATGAATTAACCTTTTATTTTACTATAAAAATTATATTTTTATACTTTCATAGTGTTTTGACACCAATTTGGGTGTTAACTATTTGCCAATAGGTTTGAGTCTAAAAGGGGCTACCACCTCGCGTCAAGGTGGACCTGCGATCCACACCAATTAAAAGCTGATAAACCTCCCAATCAGAAGTCTTGCTGCCGGACGTAGTTTATCGTCATATCCAAGAAGAATGGAACATATATAATTTACGAGTATAAACATTATATGTCAAAAAAGTGTATACAAGTATGAAGATATGAAAAAGTCTACAAAAATTGTAAGTCATTGTACAAACATCGCATGTCTTGAGAAAAATCCAAGTTAAACTTGACGTAATTATTAGAAATAGTTAACAATGATTTAATAAACAAAAGTTAATTAGAGAAAAATATAAGGTGTTTACATCTGTCTATGGCTAAAAGCCTAAATAAACATTATTTCAAGAAGGTGATCTGTAATATTTGAAAGGATTTTAACACCAGTTGATTTATTCGATCGCGAACTCCCAGGCATTAAATAATAAATAAATAACTACATTAAAGGAAAACGGAAGAAATAAATACATATCCAAAAACAAAATTAAAAGGGACGAAAAAATAAGTGCCAGAAAAAGAGGGAATCGGATGTGCTTAAAAACTGGCGGGCAGAGATTTTCAGCGCAAACGGATTTCTCTAAAAGGCTAACACCAGCGAACTTCATTTCAATTAGGCAACAAACAGCCAATAGAATTTTCCTAAAAATAAGTTATTATTAGAGACAAGTTGTCGACTGCGACTACAAAAATAGCGCACATGCGCAGAGAATGCGGAAAAAGGGATGCGAGAAGAGAAATAGTGCCTGAAGGCGTACGATTTCCCACTTCGTAGTGTAAACACATCATTCACATTCACTCATTAGTTTCTGCTTCGTGGGGAACTATTTTCTCTAACCAAAAATCGTTGTCTGCTTTTTTTTTATTTCTGTTTCAAAATCTATAAGCGAAACATAAAAAGAGTAATAGAGAAAAATGGAGTAGGAAAACCATTATTTTGTGCTACTTATTTTGTTCAGTTTATTAATATTCCTTGTTTTCTTTAGTCTTGTTCATTCGCTTTCCATTTATAAGTTGCTAATTCGTCCATTTTATTTTTTTTATGAAAATCACCGATTTTAGAGTAACTTTAATTTTTCATTATCTTTTTTTTTTCGTTTGAACTGTGCAATTCTTGGTTTTTCATTCATTTAAATTAATTTTTTTTCTTTCATTTGGTTTTCTTATTTCACCATGTTCATTTTTACTGTGTTTATTTTCTTTGACGATTATTTTTTTCTGTCTTGAAAACGTGAAAGCGAAGGACTTATTTCAGCGCCAAAAATTTCTGACTGTAGATAAGAAGCGAAATGCATCATGTCTAATGTAAAGGCATTGCTCCAAAGCTGCTGCTAGATTTAAGGTCTTATTTTTAAGCATCATTTACTTTAACTGATGAGACAATATTCCATTAATAAAGCCTTCCCTAATAAACACATCTCTGGTTTGGTCGTCTCTTTGCTCCTTGAAATAATTTTCGCGGATTAGAAACGTAAAAGTCTGTAAATATTGGTCAAGGTTTTTTTTTGGTTTTTGTCGTCTAGAGGCGAAGAAATAGAAACTTTGTCATCGCCATCTAAATATTTGCATAAATTTGAGAGGCGACATTCTTTCCCAAACACCAAAAGAGGGTCCAACTCACATGACAATTTAATGTAAAGAGAGTATTAAAAACATATTCCGATTCGAACGTATTTTAGACCTTTTCCTTATTTATTAAAATAAACTAAACTAAACTAATATATATATATATGACGTCACACATTATGAAATGCACAAAGTCCGACAATCATTTTAAGACATTTTTATGTTATACATTCTTTTTTATAGATACAAATATGTAAGTAATATAATGTTCGAGAAATTTTCACAGAAAATATTCGTCCTTCGACAGGACACGAACCTGTATCCTATACGGAACCGTCATTTAGCTTGACGTGCATTTGCCTATCTGGCCATAGAGAAGCGTTCGGTTAGCAAGGTCGAATTTACTGTCTTTAAACTTCAACTTCTATGAATCTCTCACGTTCATTCATATCTGCTCATGGCGTATCAAATGTAAACAAATGACGTCACACATTATGTAATGGACCAAGTACGACAATTATTTTAAGACATCTTTATGTTTATACATTCTTTTTATAGATACAAATATTTAAGTAAATGCTCTGTGAAAAATTCTCGGACATTGAGACCGGTAAATGTTGTTTAATAATGTTTATTATAAACAGGGCATCTTTATGCATTCTTGTTCCTTTTCCGGTAATTAGCGCGCTCGAAGAACTGACAATTTCAGTGAGACGTAACGCTTGACCAACTTTTTGAGGAAGCGATTAATCGCGCGGAAAAGTGAAGATGAAGTCGAGACGTTTGAGATTAATAAAACGACATGCTTTCAACAGATTACAATAAAACAGGAATTGGTTATTTTATTTAAAAAAAAAACAAATTGTAATTACCTTCCGGTGATGGTCATTGGAAAATTATTTGGGTCCGATCTCGCTTTACCACCGACGTAGAATCACGCTATACCCCGGTCGAAAGAGAAGCCTTGGCTATTGTCTATGGATTAGAATCATGTCGGATGTTTATATTGGGATGCCAGGATTTGTTAGTAATTTTCTGATCCTCAACCACTCATAAAAATGTTCTCAGGTCAAGCCCTCGAGGACATAAAGGACCCACGTCTCTTTAATTTCAAGGAACTCACACTAATGTACAAATTCAGCATTAAACTTCTCCCTGGAAAACTTAATGCTGCACCCGACTGCGCCTTCCGGTACCCAGCATAGGTTCCATCAGAGGACTCAACAAAATGTCTCCGAATATCACTTGCAGAATCAGAATATATACAACAGAAATGTAGAACCAATCGACAGTGCAATCAAGGCTGCATTCATGCCCACATACGAGCATTGACCCTAGATTGTGGCTCTATCACATGGGATAGGTTCGTTGCCGCGACAGTCATTGAAAAAGAATGTTGGACACTGACGGAATATATACGGACTGGTTTCTCTAAATCACAGCATGACCTCTTGTCTGTGATCTCCCGATTTTGGCCCATGCTCCGACAACTTCGTGCAGAATTACTTGATTCTCTACATTGTGCACACCAGGGTGTAAATGGCATGCTAGCAAATACGAGACAACGCCTATTTTGGCATGGTTTAGGTGCCAGCGTCCGACAGACCAGAGCCCAATGTCAGATATGTAACTCTATTGTCCCGTCACAGCCTAAGGAGCATTTGATGCCGCAGTCTAAACCCTAGAAGTCCCATTGCAACAAACCGTGATTGACTTTTTCGACTTACACGATAGAAATTATTTATGTTATATACGAAGATCGCACGCACGCACACAACCACCCACCCACCCACACACACACAAACATACACAAACACACATACACACACATATATATATATATATGTATATGCAAGAGGGGGGTTACGAAACGTTAATGAAATCTTTAGTTGACATTTGCTATATATTTAACTTTTTCAACAATGTATATTATTGAACTATTTCAATAATATATATATATATATATATATATATATATATATATTAGTGGTAAATATACACATACATATGCAAAATATCTAAAATATATACACACATGCATATACATACATATATATTTTGTATAAAAAAAAAAATCTAAGAGGATAGAATCCAGGTAGAACTCAATGTCCAAGAAAGAGTAAAATAAATAATTAGGGTTTAAGCCTTTTTTTTATATATATATATATATATATATATATATATATATATATATATATATATATAGTCTGCGTGCATATATATAGATATATTATTAATAGTTCAATATATATAATTGTTATATATATATACATACATACATACATATATATATATATATATATAGCCTTGGATGGTAGCCTGTGGAGAGTCGTTTGGGTCCCTTATGGCACGTAGTGCACGTAGGTCTGTGTATTTGGTTCTTCAAAGACGGTGTTCATTTCTTCACACAGTCTTCACCGCTATAATCAAATCATATATGCAGGTCTCTGGCTGTGGGTTCCTAAGGACTGTTTGGCTTGACCCTCATACGACGAGAGAATCTAGCATATAATTTTATTTTCAGCTTAAATTTTAATTTACACTGGTATGAATTTCAATACAATATTGTATTCAATTCATTGTATGATGAAAATATCTTTTTAATTATTTCACCCTAAGCAAAGCGATATTTCCATTAAGGCTCGCTAGAATCAAGCAAAAGAGTAATAAACTGCTATGTAGTATATTTTCTCTCTATGGCGGTGTTGCTGGAAGATCTCATTGATGAAGAGGAGACTTGAAGTCACAGAAATATTGTTCTACAGAAGGATGCTGAGAATACTGTAGACTGAACATGTGAGTAACAACGAAGTTTGAAAGAAAATGGAAATAAAAAGGAAACTAATCTATAACATTAGGAAGAGACAGTTGAAGTTTATATTGAGGAAGGAGGGCTTGGAAAATCTGATACTCACAGGACATATAGAGGGCAAGATGGACAGAGAGAAACAACGGATAATATACTTAGGGAGTCTGAGTAAATGGATAGCGGAACAGAGTCTGGGAGAAATAGCAGGAAGACAATGTTTATTGAGAGCTACAAAGGACGTGAAGTTGTGGAGAGCCATGATCGCCTACGTCTTGTGGGGCCACGGTATATAAACAAGAAGATAACATGAAGAAAAAAAATAATGCCAGCCCGAATCAACCATTTTGCATCCACTATTTAGTCATTGGTGAGAGCTTAAAGAATTCTGTTCTCAAAGATTGAATTGTGAAAGATAAAATAAAATCCCTCAAAAATCTTGGTGCGAAAAGAAAAAAAAAAAGGAAATTATTTCCGACTGGCAAAAAAAAATTAATAGTGAAAAAAAAAATAAAGAAGGATAATTGAAAGTAAAAGTAAAGAAAAAAGATGATAGGGAAAAAAAGAAAGGAAAAAGAAAAAGAAGGCAATGTATAATGAAGAGTGCGGGGAAAAGAAGAAGATAAAGAAGCAATGAAGGAAGTTGAAAAAGGAGGGGGAAGAAAAAGAAAAGAAAAGAAAATCTGTGAGGAAAAGAGCTGACCTCACACTAATCCATTATAATATTAAGTAGATACCGCCAAAGATTTGCTAAAAAAGAGGTTGCATGATGGACAAAAATGCCGAAAATATAATGAAAAGAAAGGTTTATGGTCAAAATATTTGTATGGTTATTAAGAGCAAAAATCAAAGAATTTTTTATGCAAATTTCTTTTTTATCCTGTTTAGAACCACGAAAATTTTAGCTAAACATCTTGTTTTTCTGGCATTAAGGAAATTTAAATTTGCATGGAAAATTTGAGCGTCTTTTTGTGATCAAAAACGCGCTGATTTGGAAATCGTTTCAAATTCAAATAATCGTCGGATTTTAATGAAACTTTGAGTATTCAAAAATGAAGAAAATTATTTTTTTTTAATTTTCCGTTTATAGAAAAATCTTGTAAAAATATTTATTTTTTTACATCTCTTACCGCCACTCATTTAATTTATGAATGTCCGAGAAATTCTTTTTTTTGTATTGTTTATATTAATTATAAGGACATGTCTTCGGAGAATTTAAATCATCAATTCTTTTGGTCAAACGGGACCATCAGTTACAGAAAATTTGTTCTGAATCGTAAAACAGAAAATGAAATAAAAATAATACATTATTTAATTAGAAAAGCTTTTATTCTGCGAATATGGACACTATCGTCTTTAGAAAAAATCAAAGAATAATTCATTTTTACAAGAATTATTTTCATTTTTGTAACATTTTAATTAGAATAATTTATAAACCTTTAAATATTTTAGAATTCTGTATTAATTTGTCGGTGTCAAGTGGTGTAGTTATTAATTTAAAACTGCATAAACCATAAGAAAACTTACTACACATCGACCCCTCAATATTTAAATGAATTTTGAAATTGTTTATATTATTACGAACTTATGAATCTTTGTAAACACAGAGCTCCATACACGATATTATCGAAAAATAAGAGAGGTGAGTAGAGTAGATTTAAAATTTATTGGCCATTTTCAAATATTTCCTCAACAAGTGTCAATGTAATTAAAATTCGATAAAATATTAGAATGCTTAAAATATTGTATATTTTTATTACTAAGTAGTTAAAAAATGATATAAAAAACCTTCCTGTTGGATTAGACATATATATTTTCAATTATGTCCCCATTACTTAAGTTTCTCAAATATCAGGCTGTTAATAAATCACTAAACGCATCAAAAACGACCCTTCACCCAAAAATATATTTTTCTGCAATATTTTAAACTAAAAGTAAGTAATATTTGTTTTAATTTGATTAATTAAAATTTAAATTAGATTAGTTAATTTTCCTCGAATAAAGTTTCAGGAAAGCACATTTTATTTTTGAAAGATTTTTTAATAAAGGGCATTACATATATGTTGACAAATCTGTCAATATGGATGAATTCATTGATTTTACTGATGAGACGGAAAAAGATTCAAATCGGTTTCAATTCGGTCTGAAATACATCAAAGTATTTTACTTATAGGGAATATCAAATTTAAACTATTAGCATCGAATTCGATGTAAAATTAAAGCTTCAAGACATATTTTTCATTTTTTAAATACATTTTTAACTTAGGTGGCTAATATTGAATTAGCAATTGTTTACCCATGTCTTAAAAAAACATTAACATATTTTGTTAATTCCTTATAAGTAACGTGTGAGTCTGAAAAATATTTTCACATCACAGCTTCCTAAACACCTAGAACACCTTTGAAGGGTTTGAGGTTTTAATCACATAGACAGTGTCACATGTCGTCACCATTGCAAAGGGATAAATCTAGTAAGGTACATTGTAGTAGTGTTCAGGGGAACACCCACGCAGGAGTCTGTTCCGCAAAATAGCAGTGCTTAGGAAGAAGCTCTCTGGCTGGAATGTCCTCCTTAATTTTTGTAAAACAAAATTCCCTTCACAATAACGCCTACTTTGTGAAATACAACTCCTGCATAGGTGCTTACCTGAACGCTACGATATTAAATTCTTCACAGAGCTTGTAATCTGAACGAGTTTTTAGCCTGAAAATCTGTTGGGAACAAAGCCACACCACACCTCAAGTGGAACTCGTATATACGATCCACCACCGCTTTAGAAATTATTTGGCTCCTCCTGCCATGACTCCGCCTATCAGAAGAAAACTGGAGCATTGAGGCCACATCTTTTAATCATTTCACCCCAAGTAAGGCGATAATGCTACAAGGATGCTAAGGATTAGCGGAAGTGAAATAGAATGATCGAATTGAATGTGGAGAAGTGAGGAAAGCACAATATAGGAACAAGGTCCAGGAAGACAGAAGATGGTGATTGACGTTGCATTTAAATTTTTGAAGGTTGTAGTTGGCAGGGAAGCAATAAAATCGGAAGGGATTTTCACGATGGGAAGTGCGAGAAAACAAATTGATAGAATAGAATATACGGTTACCCCTAACAGTAAAACGGTGAGACCTAGTTCCCAACCTAGTAACACGCTGAAATTCATACAATCGAAGAACCAAGGGAAAAAAGCCCATCAGTACAGTTTCCATGAAAATATTTGTAGAAAATACAGAGGGATGCGACGCCGCGTTGAAAGTGACTGAAGCCGAGATGCCATAACAGGATCGATTACATTACATCCCCTTCTATGAATTTTGTCAAGAATCTCAAGATGTATAGCAGCAGCACAAGACCTTGTATGGCTACAATATTTAGTGCGCGGTATGGTAGGTTAAGAAATGTGCAATATGGATTCTGACGTGAAAAATCTTCTTGCACGACACAGCGATCCAACTTTCCTTGCAATAGATTCGATATAATCCCTCCACTTCATCTTGGTGGAAAACGTGAGCCCAAGAGGGTTTAGATCATTACTCCCCTGGAGTTCAGCACCAGCCAGGCTTATAACAGACAGGAAAGATTCTCTGTGGTGGTTAAATGAAAGTAGTTTTGTTTTAGTGGCGTTTAAATTAACAAGCCATTTCTTGCCCCAGTTAACCGTTGATTGGGGTCCTTTTCGAGAGCAGATGCCAGGTTTACAGTGTCGGATCTGTCGGAATTGCTATGACACGAGTTAATATTTGTGTCATCAGCATAAATGCGTGGTTGGGGACTAATAACACAGGGAAGGTCGTTGATAAAGTTCAGATATAGCGTAGAAAAGAGCCCTGGTTGACCGGCGCCTTCGTATAAAATGATCTAGAAGCGTGTCCGTTCAACCTGACATTCATTGCACGATTTGCTATGAACGATTAAATTAAATCAAGTAGTCTACCCGTGACATCGTAGCCCTTGAGCCTGTGGAGAAGGCTAGCATGCCAAACCCTGCCGAGCGCCTTTGAAATATCTAGAGCCACAACCCGAGCTTCAACGTTCTTATTTATAGCTTGACAGCTAAATTCAGTCATGGTTGTTAACACACAGGAAACGGAAGTTATTGTTTGTCTGAAGATGCTTAACCAATTTTGCGTTGATTAAAGCCTCGAGTATTTTTCATAAAAAGAGGCAAGAGGCTAATAGGGCGATAATTTCAGGGGTCAGAGAGTTGCCCAGAGGTGTTAGAAAAGAGAAACTACAGAGGAAGACTCGCAACGTGCTGGAAAGCAAAAAGTAGCGCGACGTTTGTTATAAAGATTGCAGAGAAAAGGAGCCAGTTCAGGAGCACGTTTGTAGCTGGGCTGGATCTCCCCGATACTCACTTTCCGTCCCAAATGTGTTAAAAAGCACTGACGCAGCCTTGTGGGTCATAAATTATTTTCCACATTGCAACTTCTTTCCTACAGACGAAACATATCTATCCTCTCGCTAATCTATCGCTATTTTCCTGACAGTTACACGTGTGAGCTACAACCCATTCCTATACCATTGATAAGGAGGAAATATTGCAGACTCCCGAGAGGATGCTTCCTCGATCACTACAATTATAAATTCATCAAATCTATGTTTAAACACCAGGCCCAAGAGCCATTCAAGGCAGAGGGTTACATATACAATAGAATCGTCCTGTAATACTGTAGCCCTGAAGCTTACATAGAAGAGCAGCATGCCAAACTCTGTCAAACGCTATCGAGATATCTAGAGCCACAGCTCGAGCTTCGCCGTTATTATCAAGAAGAGCTTGATAGACATATTCAGTTATCGCAGTAAGCACATCAGCGGTAGACCGGGCAAAACGACTTCTTTCTGGTCACCCGTCTTTCATTCAAATAACACCTTATTCATGATAACCATTTTAACAGTAACCATTCAAATTGCATAGCTCTCAAGGCTTGAGCATTAGTATATAAAATATTACAGAATAAAAATGACTCATGAAGTATTATATTTTATGATATTTTATATTTCAGCATACATAATTTCATGCCAGTAAAGGTGTAGGCACAGTGGCGTAATCGATAGCGGCTTCGATTGAGGAATCGTAGAGCCGAGTTCGAATTCCAGACGAATCCATTGCACTCACTTACGTGCTAATACTCTTGGGAAAGATATGAATCCTCTTCTTTTCCACTCAGCTATGGGTAAATATCAGGAAAGACCTGGTTCTATAGCCTGGATTGCAACTGAATGGCAGAAAGAAATGGCAATCTACTCCGGGAAAAAATCTGCCTCGTCGAAAGATATATTTTCGCCTAAGCACATCAATGACTGCCACGCAAACAGGAAGTCATTATCGGGGAAAACAGACGACTTTTAAACCAATCGTTCGCTTAGTAGATATTGTCAAATCACCATGAATTGACTACTTAAACATTTAGTGTGTAAGACCCAGCAGATAGTATTTAATTATTAGACATTGTTTATTTAATGGGGATCATAATATTATTTATCCCCCCTTGTCTTCTCCACTTTTAACATTTCGTATACAGAAACGTTTTTTGTCTGTCGTATATTTACGGTCGAAGTTTCAACCATTTTTATAAACGTTGTTTATATAGAGTGGGAAAACTAATGTTTGGGATAATGTCGGCCATTTTCTTTCCGCGTGGGTATATGTATACATTTCATTTCATTTCTTTTATCAT